GTTAAATACTGACTCGGCTTTTTTTCCAAACAACATTTAATTCATTTCCTTCAAAAAAAAAAAAAAAAACATGGTTCCGATCCAGAAATCTTGAGGTTTCTTTAGAAATAGTGAAGTAATATTGCCACGTCACTTTTTAGTGGAAGAGGTTGTAAAATAGCCCCCTTTTTAAAAAATAAGCCCTGCTTTCTTCCTCTTTTTGTGGCTGAACTGTTATTGTCATCAGAGGCTGACCACTAGCAGAACTATCTGGTGCCTCTGCTCGTGGGAGGACTTGTATCTGTTTTTCCCCATGTCTAAATGTTGTTTTTCTCTTTCTTCGTAAATGTGCTTGTGAATTAAATTATAACCTTCCTCAAATTGACGGACGGAAACAGTTGTTTTTTTTTTGTTTTTTTTATTTAAGGTTACACCAGAAGCCTCTTTGAATCCATATAGATTGTTTTGTTTTGAGGGTTTTTATGAACCAGATTTGTTCATCCAAGTCAAAATGTTTTGCACATTGTGATGTCATACAATTATTTTTTTTTTAATTTCTGTACATGTCAAGTGATTTGATTTGAAATAATGATTTAAATGATGTAAATCAGTAAAATGCAGATTCATAATGAGCCTTAATGGTCTGTAAGGAGGAATTGGTGCTCTGTTTCTTGTGCAGTTTATCACTGTATAGACTATGTGATGTTGAATACACAGTGATGGTGAATAAATTGTTTTTAAGATAGGTTTGCATTTTTATTAAAATAATTTACTCCAGATATGAATGACGCAAGAGTTTTGAGATTTTTTTCACTGCTGCATTTAACATGTGTCTTCTGGCATTTATAGCAGACTTTATTTGTTGTTTTTGAAATCATTTTATGACATAAAGGTGTTATCCCTTGCTATTCTATTGGAGGGTATTTTTGTTTGATTATCCGTGTCTTCAAAAAGGCAAAGTTTTATTTCTCTGGTCGTGCATGCATCTTGACAGCTGATTGATTAATCTGCTCCAAGTGAGACACTCAGCGGGAAACCGATGTGTGGGAGAAGAAAGAAGATGGCCTTGGAGTTATCATGAGGTCTTAGCTCCTGGTTTCCCATGGCGTCCTCTTTGGGATGAGGTGGGTAGGTGGGCTTTTTGGCACTCAGACACTTAATGCTTCCCTCCTACACACTGTCAAAGATGAGTCTCCATGGCAATCTAACATCCTGATCGGTGCGTGATGGGATACGGAGTGGGAGAGACGTCCTGCGGAGAGATTCATTGAGTGGAGGCGCACTGGAGCATATACACTTTGAGGAGACCGCGTGTTATATCAATAAAGCAACTGTGGAGACAGACTGTTCGTGGGCACATTCCCACGATGGTCAGAACTCCTATTTGTAACTGTGCACAGACCAGTTTGGTTTGCTAAATGGATGTGAGGTACAAATAGTAATACAGTGGTTAGAAAAGTGTGAACAGAAAGTCTGGGAATGTAAGTACAGGGGAAAGCCACTGAAGATGTTGTTTCTGAATAAATATTCTAAAAATATGTGGCATCCATTGTGGCTTTTTTTTTTTAAATGAAGGCTTCGCATTTTAAAATTGATTAGAGTCTCCATAAATTTTGAATTAGCAGATGGCATTTTTATTTCCTTGAGATATGTGTTCAGGGAAAGAAATTTAGGTCAGCCTGTGACAACCTGTGTCTTTTCCAGAACTTTTAATGTGTGTTTAATAACTATTTTCGTCATTATACAGTATCTGTAAATGATTAAAAACAGGAAGAAATTGCTTATTAAATTTAATGTAAAGTGTAATGAAATAATGAGGCACTTACTCCCACTTTAAAATCAGGAACAAACAGTGAAAAGATCTTAACAGCACATCTCATCCTGATAATATTTCCTGTTTTAATATTACAGATGTAGTTTGATGTTGTGTTGACTGTTGAAGTGAAATATTCTAATTATGATTTAATTTATTATGGAGAAAAAGTTACCCAACCAAACCTTGTTCTAAGTGAAAAAGTAATTGCCCCCTAAAGCTAATGACGTCATTCTTGGTTGGCAACGATTGCCTTCAAGCATTTGTGGTGATTGACGTTGAGTCTGTGGTTTAACTTTGACCCTTGACTTTTTAAACTTTTTGGTGCAACGCTTGAGAGTTTTTAGGCATGGCCTATTGAAGGGAATGCCATGGTTTTACAGTCAGATTCTAGTCTGGACTTTGACTAGGCCAGTCCAAATCCTTTACTTTGCTCTGTTATTGTCATCCATTCAAAAGTTGTTCTATCTGGTGGGCTTTAGAAGATTTCTGTATGTATGGGATATATTGTTGTGCTGTGCACTTGAATTCAAGGTCACAACTGCCATGTATCATTATTTTCTCCTATAAAGAAGAATTTATGATTCTATCACTTACAGGAATTGTCAATTCCCTGAGTACATCATACTATCTTCACCAAGATTGTCTGGGGACAATTACATTTCACAAAGACCCAGATGGGTTTGAACAGCTTTGTCCCTAAAATAATTAAATTATTCTTTGAAAACTGACTTTAAAAGTGATAAAGTGGGCAAATATTTTTGAAATGGCAGTCTAGATTATTAATTTGTTCTTAAAAAACACAGCATAAAACATCCTTTGTGTCTGGTCATGTTTTAAAAATGTATTATTATTATTATTATTATTTTTTTTTTTTATTGTGGAAGAGCCTTTTCATCTAAAGATGACCTGGAGATCTTTCCAGGTTATGCACAACCTGTTATCATAAGCTGAAACACAAGGAGAAAGAAGGTCAGAAAAAAAATGGATGTAATATTTGTAACTCTGAGATTGTATTCAGGGCTAAAGATTTCTGGTTTTATCTTTAACACATCCAAAGATCTTTGGTGTGGTCAACACCAAGGTCACAGTGTCCTTTGACTAAAGCTTAGAGCATCAAAAATAATTAATTTGTGCTCTGATCACTCTAACAACAGAGTGTAAGTCAAAATCACATTACAACTCCTAAAATGTTTTTCTTTTTCTCTTATTTGTTCTGCTAACAATGAGCTGCAATCATCGTGGAAACACCATGCTGTCTTTTTGTTGCTGCTTAGTTTGACATTAATCAAGAATCAGAAAGCAAAAGCTTTGGTAGCCAGTGAAATACACTGCTGGATCTGCCTGCCATGGAAACAAGCTCTAACCATTGTCCTACATACTGTTATGCTGCAGAAACAGTCTGACTGGGTTCGACTCTGAGATTTTTTTTTTTTGTTTTTACTTTCCAAGTCATCAATGGGAACATTTCCTCTTTTGTCCTTGAGGAAAGTCCATTAACGGTGCTAATATTTCCCAGAAGCAACAACGGCCGTGTGTCACTGTAGCTTTAAACGCCACCCCCATTTCATTCATTTTCATTGGTCTGTTTCCTGTTAAGCTCTCTGGTTTTAATACTTTTTATTCCTCGTTGATTGATAACCGAGCCATCAAAAGACCTCATCTGTGCGATCAATCACATGTGTCATGTTGGCCTTTAAACACCAGCCTGCATATATAGTAGCTGCTTCTGGAAATGATGCGAATTCAGCAGGTGGGGCGGCGGGAGGGGGATTTTAGAACCCGGAGGCAGCTGGATTTTTTTTATAGAAAATGAGTTAAATAAGAGATGATGCAGATTTCTGGACATTTTTGTTCCCTTTTATGCGGCTGCATGTTTAATGTTCATATTTTTTCATGTCACAACTGCATATGTCGCTGTATTCTATTTGGATTCAATGTGATAGACACAAAACACAACACAAAGGATGAAAAATCATTCATTTTTTAAAATGTGTTTTATACATAAAAAGCTGAAAAGTGTGGCACAGATTTAAATTCAAGTTTTTAGTCAGTTGGGGAACCATCATCTTGAGCTGTAATTACAAGGATGTCAAGGTATCAATGAATCAATCAATCAATCGGGCATCTGGTTATGATATAGTGTCTTTGTTCCACGTCATGACATCAAACTGTTTTTAAACAGGGTTGCTATGTAGATCTAGAATAGACTAGATGACAAATGGCGGATCCACATGAATATGAATAACAGAAAACATTGAAAACAACTGTACAAAAAGATCAAATTTAAACTGAAATAAAATAGTACACTCAAGTACTAAGAAATGTGCAATTAAAGGTAATTTTAAAGTGTACAAATTGTACTCTGTATATTTGTGCAAAGATAACAGGTCTATTTAAAGTTGCATGTGTACAACATTATGTTTTTTTCTTCTTCTTCTTTTTGAAAAACTGAAGAAAAAAATCGTCGTCCAATCAGCTGTGACCGGTTTCCTTTTGGTCGTCTGACCATATATCTGCTTTGTCCCTTGCATTGCTTTTTCGTTACAGTAAAGATTACAGCCCATTTAATGACAGCACAACTTATCTGTGAGCATTTTTTTTTCCCACCTAAGCTGTAGATCTCTTTACTAAGTTCCACAGGTTTGGATACTTTTGCAAGACACTGCATTTGTCATTCGTTTATCCTGTTGTCTTAGAAGCATCCCGGTCTTGTGCACCTTCGTTCTTGTTTTGCATATCTTTGAGGTCTGTTTGCATGCTTCTCTTGTTTCATAAAGATGGTTAAGTAATTCTTGCCACTCGTACCCGTCTTGTCTGGATTAGAACATTTCGGTAGCCATTTGCATACAGCAGGCTCTTATTAGTATTCAGATTGGACATGCCAGTCAATCGGGGCTGCCCTGAGGCCCTTTATTTTATTTTATTTTATTTTATTTTATTTTATTTTATTTTATTTTTTGGTTCCTCTGTCCATGGTGCTGAAAGTAAACAGGGTTGCCCGCGGCCACGGTGGCCTCAGCAGATCACCCCGTTGAAGCTTCAGGAGGACTGGCAGTTTAAAGTTTTGACCAACATGCAATTTACAGACCGGATTCTGACTCACAACCAATCCGTGTTGCTAACAGAGACTTCTGAAAGTGCGAGCGCAAATGCGAGAGTTTTATGAGCAGTTTCCGTTTAAGAAAAAAAAAAAAAAAAAAGTCCCACGCGGTAAACGTGAATGAAAATACTCTGCTTTCAGTTCTCTCATTTCCTCCAACCACTGTCTCCCTTCATTTGTAGACATAACAGTCTCAGTTTGTTACCTCCGTGTCTGACGAGGTGCGAACCCCGGAGGAGCGTTCACCCACCTCCTTTCTCGTCTTCTTCTTCTTCTTCTTCCCCCTCCTCCTCTTCTTCCTCCTCGTCGTCGTGCTGCCGCAGCAGCAACCAGCGCGGTGAGTGCGTCCTGCAGCAGCGGCAGCCGCAGCAGCAGGACGTGGTGATACCTGACTCCGGAGTAAAAACCCGCAAATACCGATGGCTTCATGTGTAAATGTATCGGTAAGTTTTTGTTTTTTTTCTCTCGTTCCTGCATCTATGGCTCTTTTGCATAAGCAGCAGCAAGCTGAACTAGTAAAGCATCAGATCCCACATGTTTCTTCTTGAAAATGTCAGAATACGCATGGAATTAATTTGAGTAAGAGTGCAGCAAATGTACAGTGAGATGTTTTACAAATGAAGGTCACCCACAAGTATGATATATTTAACATTTCTGAGGATAAAAAAACCAAAGCAAAAAACAGGGCAGGGCAAAATTATCCTATTGATTCTGCAGCACTGAGGGAAGAAACATTTGTCTCATATTGATTGTAATTAAGGCTGGTTTTGTTCTGGCACGCATCACCTGACATCGTTGGAGCTGATTTACAGGCTGGTGTGTTTTGGGATGCTTGATCTCTGTGATGGCTGGAAATAATAATAATAATAATAATAGTAAAATAATCAAGAAATAAGGAAAAAAAGGGGCTACATTATTCACATAGACATGGCGTTCACATTTACAGCATTGATTGTGGCTTAGATTAATTGGAAGCATCCTTCCAGATTAGGCTGAGAGAAAATTTGAATATTCAAGCATTAATTAGGAGGCTTATGGGTGCTATAGTTCTTTTAAATAATATTTACAATTGATAGACTATGTACACAGAGTTCTTCTGGTTATTTGTATAAGCTTGTGTACATTGGAACAGTAACAGAGTCATTGTTGCATATTTTCTCATCTTCGCCTGGGCATGTTTTTGTTTTTCTGCTAAAGTTTTGCCCAGCAAATCTACATTTCTGTCTAATTTATTTTATTTTATTTTATTTTTTTTGAAGTTCATCTTACTGGAATCAGTACATAATTTTGCTGTAAATCACACAGCAGTGCTTAACACATCACAGACTTCCATGTGACTCTCACAAATCCAGCTTCTTGCCCTCAGGATGATTTAATGTTCAGCCTAACAGCTGTTTTCTGCTTCAGAGCTTTGTTAATCCCGAACACATATGATTTGTTTTAACCCAATTAGAATTTTTGTGCTGCAAGAAACTACTGGTTTAATAGCTCACAAGAAAGACAGTAAAACCAACTAAGCACATGTTTGTTTTCCACTGTTTGGTTCCACCCTCTAAATTTCTGGGTTTTGGCCCCCCGAGCGCTGTCTGTTCTATTACTTGATGAAGCATCCGAGAGATGCTTTAGAGGTAATTGGATTCAGTGGTGGAGGGATAGGACACATAGTTAAATTCATCTGTGTGCATGAACTGCCTCTGAGAGAACATGTATGCATGTTCTGCTGTTTCAGTGATTGCCTGGTCAGGATGCGTTGTACTTTCTGTGAATCGTGGTGTTAACAGGAAGCTGTTGGGTTGTGTAAGGTGTTAAAAAACAACAACAACAGAAAAAAACAAAAAAACAAGTGAGATGAGCTGGTTTAAAAATGTAACTCTTTATACATATTTTTTTTTTTTAATCTGAAACTTACAAATCAACTGGACAGTTTTTCAGTGATTGATAGGTGAATCATTTTTTTTCAATATATACACATTTAGATTCACAAGTAGTATATATTTACGTTGTGTTTACAATGCACAACTTTACATTGTACTCCAACATTCTTTCATTGGGTTTTGGATTCACAGTTTGATGTCAAGCTTTGCCAGGCTGCTAAATGTTTAGCAGTTCAGTAATACGAGTGATGGCCCACTTAGGCCCCACTTCAGTCAAATATGTGCAAATGCCACTCAAATTTTGTAAGATTTTTCCAATATTAATAATAATGAAAAATGCTCTGAACTGTAGGCCTATTACTTTTATGTATATATCTTTAAATCTTCAATCTTTCAGCAAACAATCCTCCAGTACTAACTTCTGTCCATCTGAGGTGAACACAATTAAATCTCCAGCTAGGGGATGCAGCAACTGATTTTCCAGACATGTAAAAAGATTTTGTGACATTAGTGTCAAAGCTTTGACACATGAAACATTTGACCATCACAGCAATGAGCCAAATTAGTAGAACTCATCAGAAAGTCAGAGACTGATTCGGCTCTGATTGTTTATTGGCAGGTCAAAACTAAATAATCTGGTTTGTTTCCTCTCTTAAATAACTGCATAAAAACTGAAAGCTCCCATTGGTTTTGATGCCTAAATAACTTTTGCCCACGACTGAGGATAAACTTGTATGTCTTTCATATTTTGTGAGATTCTGCATTATCACTTCTATCAAAGAACCTGCAGCAGAAGCTTTCTCTTTGTTTGTGTTAGGGTCTGCACCACAGACCTCAATGAAAAACTGCAACAGAAGTCATCCAGGACCAGGTCTTATTGATGCATCTTTAATGTTTATAGTCTAGAAGGAAACATACATGACACACCCAAACTTCTTCCCTGTGGTAATCAGGATCCTATCTTATTTTGGACACATAATTGGTTAAAAAAAAAAAAAAAAAAAGTAGAAAACCTGGTTCCCTTTATTGTATAAATGCAAAATGCTATGCAAGAAGAGCCTAAAAACAATCATCCACTTGATGCGTCTGTGTGTGCATGTGAGTGTGTTTATGTGTGGATTCCTGAGCACCATGAGTCAGCTGTGACAGGCTCTGCTGCAAACTCAGTCGTTGTTTTTTGTCATAAAAGAGCAACATTTGGAGGAAAGCACAATGTACATGTGTTTTTAGTACCAGTTCATTATGAACTAAGGATCTTCTGCTTAAACAGTCATTATTTCATCCATTAATTATCAGAAACTAATGGAAAGATTCTTAAGTCGAAGGGAATTTCAGGAAACGTCATGCTCAGCCAAAGTAGAATCTCATAACGGCATAAAACTAATGACGGGTACTTCTGTTCCACTTTTAAATCCACTGGTTTCTTTTCATAGCTTTGAGATTTAATGTGATTAAAAAAAGACAGTGTCTACTTTGAAAACAGTTGTCACAATAAATGTAATCCATTTGTCTTGCCATGCTGGTGCATTATGTATGCTTAAGTGTAGCACTACTCTTTATATGACACAGAGGATTCATTATTTTTTAAGATGATCTGTAATAAATTATTAAAGAGAATATAAATAAACACAAGAGAAGGGCTCAAAATAACTTAAAATCCAAAGATTAAATATTATAGATTAAAAAACTGTATAATGAAATACAATACTTATATGAAACTTGAGAAGAGAGTTAAATAAATACACAATAAGTTTACTTTTATCCATTTAGCAAAAAAATGATACAGTGAAAAATTGTTTTTGCAATGATGATATGACAGATGTGAATAATAATAATAATAATAATAATAATAATAATAAAATGTTGCATTTAGGAACAATACGACATGTGCGCTTCTTAAAACCCAAACATTTCTCACAAGATGCTGAACAATTTTATAATCCTTAACGTCAGCTACAATCAACATGTTACTTTTGTCTAGCAGAGGCTCAATGATTAACAGAGAAGTATGGGCAATACAATGGGGTGAATTGATTTAAGTAATGTGTTCAAGTAAAACACCTTTTCACCTTGAAAGCATCTAGATGTCTTTTATACCCTGAGATATTTAGAGGATGGAACCACAACAAGTGGGAATCAGAAAGCAAACGATATTTACACAAACTTAACATGAAAGACAATAAATGTTGCCAATAAATAAATACATTAATACAAATCATTACACTTTAACAAATCTAAGGAGAATCCAAAGAATAAGTTAAGTTAATCTAAATTGGTACGCTCCAAGAGCTTTTACCTTTACCTTTTCCAGTTCTGTTGGTATATCACATGATTTAAACCAAAAGCTTAATTGACATTTTTTTATTACAGAATGTCTCATGAATGTCTTAACACAACCGAAAAGCTGAAATAATGAAACATTTCTCTGCAACTCAGTTATACATAACACAGTATCCATAATCATATACTTTGAATAGTGCAACCCCTGGTCTCCATTACAATGCAAAAAATACCTCAAAAACAAAAATTTCAAATAAAGAAAACAAGAAAGAAAGATAATTTTTTCTGCCATTCTTTTTTTTTTTTTTTTTTTTTTTTTCACCATTAAATCTCAAAATTTTAATGGTTTTTTTTTGTTTTTTTTTT